TCCACGATGATCTTGACGGAACTTGTTGATCTCTTCGATTTCCTCTTCTTCTTCTCCTCTTCTTCTCTTCTTCTTCTCTTCTTCTTCTCTCAAAACCCTCACTCTCACTCCTTTTAAAATGGTAAAACTGATCAAAATGATCAGCCTAACACATTTATATAACCAAAATAAAAGGCTAGGGAAAAGACCAAAATACCCTTAATTTTCCGGACGGATTCCTTGCCCAACTGCCCAACTTTCAATGGCCATAACTCGCTTATACGAACTCGGAATTGAGCAAACTCGGTGGCGTTGGAAAGACCGTTCCACAAACTTTGCAACCATAACTGGAAATCCACCTAAATCATCCTGAGCTAGAATTTATGGCTGTTCAAAGTTGGACAAAAATTCAAATTTCTCCATACTTAGCCAAAATTTCTAAAACTTTAAAATTCTTTCCAAAAATGAAAATTTCCAATTCTAAGCCTCTTCAATTATTTCACATTGCCGGATGTTACAGGATTAGGGGGTTATTAGGGCGGATTGTTTAAATTTTGGGTGATTTTCTTTGTGGGTTTAAATTTAGTGAATATTTGGAGTAGATGCATAGGATGACGACACGTGTCCAACCGTTAGAGTGAAGGACACAAATGATCCATTTTTTGGATGGCAAGGACACTAGTGTCTAAATAGTATAACAGAGGATATTCATATATCATTTTTGATAGTTCAGGGTATATTCATCTTTTTTTCCTTTAAATAATGATGGAGTTTCTTTTTCCATTTTATCCTTTTAGGGATCGTTTGGTACAAAGATTAATGACGCATGGCTTAGTAACGTCGGAATTAGTAATGCAGGGATGTGTAGTGTAGAGATTAGTAATGCAGGGTTTATTGTTTATTAAGTGTTTGGTTCATTGATTCCCACCTTATCTTGTGTTTGAATTAAAACTCTACACTCAAAAAAAGCTTTCAAATTATACCCTTGAATTATTATAGGATTTTCTATTTCGTGTATTGGGTCAAGGTAGATAATTGTCGGACAATAGTATTTTTTTATGGCCTTTTAACTAGCTAGGAGAAGAATAATTTTGTTGCCATGTTTGCTATTTTCTCACTTGAATTATTTGAGGGTAGATAATTGTCATCTTAATAAATTGGTCACTCATTAAACATCAATTTTTAATTTAAAAAATTTATACTATCTACTTTAAAACCAAGAAGACGGTAAACAATAGTAAAATCGAATAAACCATCTACATTTACACATAAAAATTGCAAAATGTAGTTCTAATATGTATACCATTTTTATAAATTATTCAAAATACAAATAATTAGATACTCACATATATATATATATCAACAAATAATGCATTCAATTAAGATCACAAACGTCATGTGGTGTTATATTTGTCTTTTCAATTAGTAAACGAATAACTCACAATATTGTATTGAGTTGTATTGGACTTATTTAGCAACAAACAACTCTCCCTGAATAATAAAATTTGTATGCTAATTATTTAAATAAATTTACTAGTACATTAATAAACATAAAATTAAGAAAATAAATAAAATGATTTGAGGGATAATTTTGTCTTTACATAGATTAATCTCAAATTCTATGTATTACTAATACCACCAAATGGAAGGTATTAGTAATACATCTTAGAATAACATGTAGGGTGTATAACTAATTCATGGATTAGTTAAACATAAGCTCAAAATTCCTGCCAAACATAGTACTAAATAATATTATACATAATACATGGACTATTTCTCCTAATACTCCCTACCAAACAGCCCCTTACTGATTATTGATGTTGTGGAAATCGTTTTCTTGATTTTGTATTAGCTCGTGATCTAAACAAGCCGTACATACGTCTTAATACTTGTTCCTTGATGTCGAGGGCACTTTCAAAGAGTGAGGATTTTCGTGACATTTTCAATTAGATGTTTTATATTTCTAATAAGTTGTTTAATAGTTGACATGTTAAACTGTATCTATAATATGATGCATTGTGGTTTAGTTTGATCCTAATCAAATCGTGTTGAATTGTTCTATTTAATGATTATTCAATTTGAAGCTAAAATCTCAAATCATCGATTTGCGGGAAGCCTCTATCATTCTTGGATGACTGAAGAATCGTATCATTCAAGTCATTTCTTTTCTTAACTCGATCATGAAAGCAAGTAAGAAAAAGGATCTTGCGTGATATCGAATAAAGTAACTAAAATTTTCTAGTGTAATCTCGAATAAAATAACTAAATTTTTTCAGGTAAAATATTAAAGAGTTTCATCTAATAACTTTTATGAATATACAAAAAATATTCATTGTATAATACTTCTTCCATCCATTTTTACTTGTCCACAATAGACTTTGTACTTGGTGTTTATGAGAGATGGTAATACAATCGATTTCTTCTGAAATAATAAATGAAATGCATAATCTCAATGAACTTTCAATAGCGTAGTTAATATTAAAGGGTAAAAAAGATATTTTTTTCTTCATATGCTAAAACTGAATAAGTAAGAGTGGAGGGAAGGAGTAACAAGTATCCACCTATTCATTTTGTTTCAAAATAAGAGGTGTTTCACAAAATTAAGAATTACATTTATTTATTTAGGGGATCTTAATAATTCAATTGGTTGGTCACCTAAACTTTCACCAATCTCCACTTTTTGATCCCCTGCCCATCTTCACTTCCCTACCCAAGGGCATATCTAGAGGGGTATTGTGGGTAGGGATGGCAATGGGGTGGGGCGGGCACCAGCGGCGGAGCCAAAAATTTCATCAAGGGTGTTCAAGAATTATTTTTTTAATAAGTGAGTTGAATGTTATTTGTTTAACCTAGGGATTCTACCATGAACCATCTCAACATTTGTCAATATCAAATATAAACAATCGAGTTTTATTTTTCTTTTTGATGCATTTATTTTATATGATAAAAATATATGATTATTATTTTTAAATTGAAATATTGATAGAACAAATGCGTCTAGCTTTACGAAACATAAATCACACCAGTAGAAAAAAAAATTCTTAAAAAAAAAAGAAGATAAAACGCATGTATTGATTTTAGCTTTGGGTTTAAAGTTGTTAACATATATAAAATACAAATTTTTAAAGTAAAATATTGGCTTTTTTGTTTTCACCATTCGAAAGTGCATTATATCCTAGATAAAAATTAGAAATACATGATATCTAAATATTCAAAATTAAAATAAAACTAAAAATTTTGTGCGCTTTGTGGGATTCGATCCAGCGCACCTAGGGTGGAAATGAACACGCTTAACCACTGCACCACAGAAGAGTTTATGTCAAGGTTGTTCAACATTAATTATTTATCCCTTAAATACAGAATTTGACCTCTCCATATGATGTAATTTTCCGGTGAAGGGTGTTTAGCTGACCACCCTTGAATGGCTGTAGCTCCGCCCTTGGTACTTGCCATAATATAATTAGCATGTCTTGCAAGTAGCACTAAATTGCTATCTTATCTACTATTAATTAGTGTATGATTTTGAGTTGAAATTAGTTGTTAGAGCCTAGAGGTCATGATTAGAGATTAGTCAAATGGTTGTCCCATGTTCATTAGAAGTATGATACTTTCCATAATCATGCATAGCACTAACGCTATTTTTAGTCCACTATTTGTTGTTGTAATATTCAATCTTAATTCTTGAATTCTTGTCGTTTTGGTAAATTATGATCTACAGGCTTGAGGATCTTTCTTGCCATAAATATTTTTGATTGGTGTAAAACTAATAGTATTATATATTTTGGACTTATAATTTTTAAAATTTAATAGTTCATATTAAGAACCTAAAAGTCAAATCGATCAAATTTATATATAAGATGCATTTTTTCGTAATTATGCTTCATCTTGCCAAAATCCTGGATACGCCTCTATCCCTACCTCTGATGTAATAAAAAACAATTAAGAGAACACATTTGTTTTCTTTTCTTCTAATTTTATCCTTATTTAAATAAATAAAATTTTACATAACCAAAAATCATTAAAGAACTACTTCTTTTTCAAGACATCAATTAAGAATAAATTAGTAAAAACAATTCTTACCCCACTTTGCTTCATTTTGATTTGACCCCTATAACAAAAATAAATATTCCATTTTACTTGTCCATTTTTGCAAGAAAAAGAATTCGGAAAAAAGGATAAATATACCTCTAAATTATGATAAACGGTACGTCAAATACCCTTCGTTATATTTTTGAATTGTATATATTCTTACCGTCAATATTTTGAAATGCATATACCCTTAGAATAAACGTACGGACATGTATCATAATCTTAACGGCCTACCCAAATTTAATTTAATTTTTATCCACAATTAAAAAAACTACCCATCTTTCACAATTTTAACTCATCCAAAATCCAAATGGTGAGCAAAAGCAACCAAAATCAAAAGAGAAGTTACACTAAGTTAATCAAAACTCTCAAATTCCTTTTTTTTAAACTTCTATAACAAAGACTTATTTCAAACATTTAGTTTTGACAACATTTTCAAAAGAAGAAAGAGGATTTTTTTTTTCAGAAAACCTTTGAACAATTTCTTATTCTTCATCTTCTTCAACTAAAATCATTTGTAGAATTTTTTGGTTAATTTGACTGAAATCACATACAAAAAATTGATCCATCAGAAAAAAACTTGTAACTTTCCATAATTTTTGGTATAGCATATGCAGCTTTTCATGCCTCTAGAAACACAAAAACAAACCCACATTATTGAGTAGAAACTAGAGAATGAAGCAGCCTACGAGTTGTTTGTGCTAATTAATTTAGTAAAATACACCTCTGATTAAAACTTTCTTAATGAATGTGCCAAATCAATAGGGGTCAAGTAATATGAATTAAAAGGAGTATTCTTTAAGACTCTCTAGGAGTGTGTAGTTTTCTTAAGGGGTATGCACAAACCGAAAACACCCTTATTTTGAAACAGAAACTAATTTTTAGAACAAAATACCAATCATCCAATAATAGTAATGCAGGGATTGTGTTGATAAGACCAAAAAACAGTGCACTTTATTTCTGATGGTTGGGAGAGGGCCACTAGTAATCAAACTAAAAGGGTTTTCATTGACAAATAAATAGTCTAGAAATATTACACATTTGAGTCAATTTTCGACTAAGTTGTGTATGCCAAAAAAAATTGTACAGCAGAAACTGTGAATTTTGAAATCTGAATAACTTATATAAGTTTCTTCTTTTCAAAGAAAGTCTTCAAGTGCCACACTTGCAAACCTGCCACAGACAAACATATAAGAATCGATAGACCAGTCATCCAAGCCAATTTATAGCTGGTATCTCTGTTCAGTTCCTGCATCTCTTCTTCCCTGTGGCATGTCAACATATCGACTTGTTAATTATTTAGTGTTGATTCATGAGTTTTGGATAGATAACAATAAGGTAAGATTGAACACACCTTTCTCGGAGATAAAACATTTCATCGTGGACACCTTGAACAATCTCAAGCATATGCTTTAGTTCTGATTCCATTGCCTAGTAAGAGCAAAGATGAAAAATCATTACGTATGTCTAAATTATTTTTAGAAAATGCAGTCATCAAGAACTACATGTAACAAGATTGATGTACCTCGACACAAATTTTGGAATATGACTAATTACAATTCTGCCAGCAATTTTTAGATAATAGAGGATTAACGTAACTAAAGGCAAGAAAACCGACAAAACAATTTAAGAGATGATCACGTGTACGACTTCAATTGAGTTTTCACTTGTAGTTGTTTGGGACAAGATGGATGGAATGAAGTTCTCAACATAATCGAATCTTTAAAAGGTTGAAGAAAGTAATAGAGGGATGTTTTTAGTGAATGATGGCACTTCACATGAAACACATAGATAACTTTATGCAGTGGTATTGCTAACTAAAAAATCAATGGATTTCAGAACCTTGTGTTTGAGGAGCTTAAGATTTTTTCAACTACCCACCAGCCAGCAAAAAGCTCACAATTCAGGAGTTAACTGCACACTGAGCCATGAAACTCTAAGCAAAACGATATAGCCCCGTTGTGCATTATAAAACAGTTAGGTACCTAGTGACACGCAAGGAATAGCTTAGCAAAGAGGGCCTGCATATCTAACCAAGAGGCTGGAAGTTCGAGTCAGCAACAGAGAAGAGTTGAAAAAAGGAAGGAAGTTGGATCTTGAGCGGGATGTTTAGAGGGATAGAGTTTGTCATATGAACCAACAAAACAAAAGAAAAAGAACAATGTACCTAGTTAATAAATCTTTTCTTTTTTTGATAACCGAGAAATCTGTTTGTGACTCGCCCTTTGGACCAATCACAGCCTTCTAAACTCGGTGGATAATGGGCCCGCCCCTCTACCCTTCTCCACTTAGATACCGAGCTTCGCTTTGCATGGAAATAATAAATCAAATTGAGAACAATGATGTTCCTTTTTCTTTTGTTTCTATTTGATGTTACTGAGTTATTTTAAGAAAGACTAGTCTTGATCAATGGAATATGCTTAGAGTACTTCTTCAATGATGCATAAGAGTTAAAAAAAAATGATGCATAAGAGTTAAAAAAAATGATGCATAAGAGTTAAGAGTTGCTAGATGAAAGCATGTGTGTTGTTGCTTTATGAAAGGTTGATGCAAAAGTTGCAAATTGTAGCTGTTTCTCTAAAATACTTTAGCATTAAATACACAAGGACCAAATAACCCCCTTAAAGACACCAAACTCTTTTAGATAATCCAGTCTATCTTATACACTGCATTACAATTGGAGTACAATTTCTTTTATTTTAAGAAAATACTAATTCTAAGTTTCTCCTGATATTTGGTCTTAAAACTCAAAGAATACTGACTACAAGAATGAGTGAAAGGCTGAGGATTTTAATCTCAAGTATGCTTCAAGTAAGGAATGGATCAGGGGTTTCAAAGTGAATCCTAAGTCTGCTCTGCTGGCATAATGGAAATTGCCTACCTCCAATATGCTGATGACACGTTTTTTGTGAAACTGAAAAGGAACAAATCAGAATGCTAAAGGTTATCTTTATTCTATTTGAAACAGTTTTTGGGCGACACAAATTGGGGCAAGAGTTATATTTATCCAGTCAATGAAGTACCTTAGTTACATAACTTGGCTGAAATCCTAGGGAAGAAATAGTGAGCTTCCTACAGTATACTTGGATATGCCATTGAAGATAAAAGGAAATCAATAGGGATCTGGAGTAGGATTCTTGAGAAGTGTGAAAAGAAACTATCAAATTGGGAAAGCCAATACTTGTCACTAGGGGGGTGACTAATCCTGTTGAACAATGTACTAGTCTACTAGATGTCATGCCCAGACAGTCCTTGTTCCATGTCCCCTCTAATGTTATCAAGAGACTAGATGCCTAGAGAAGAAATTTCTTATGATACGAAAAAGATATACCTGATCAGACGGGAGACCTTGAGAATAAAAAGGAATGTATGCTAGGTCCTTTCAATCGAAAAACCCAGAATCAGAGTTTGTTAATGAAGTGGCAGTGGAGAATGGCTTCTGAAGAACATTCTCTATGGAAGGAGGTGATCAGAAATAAATATGATGAGGATTCCAATTGGATTACCAAACCAGTCCCCACCCTTTATGGCGTAAGTTTTTGGAAATCCATCAGATATTTGTGGCCAACTTTCCTAAGCAACTCAAGATTTAAAGTGGGAAATGCCTGACGCCAGAGACTATCTATAGTCAGTTAGGATAGGGAGGGCAGGTTAGCCGAACAGAAAGAGAAATAGAGGATTGTCCCAGCTTGCATCTGGTGGACAAAAGGGAAGAAATAAATCAGAGATGCTTTGAAGATAAAGGAAGCTCCATCCAGAAGTTCAAAATGAATTGGCTAGTCCTGTTTAATTTTTAATGTAAACAAGAATATATAGCAGAGACACAATATTTTTGATGCTTTAGATTACATTTAGAGAGGTATCAGGAACCATCTTGTAATTCTAATTTTGGGCTTGACCACACAACTTGTGCAGTCAATTCTATTTATAGAACTTGTTATCATTATCAGAAATAGATAAATAATTGGAAAATTTCCAAGAACAAGAAAGTACTTTGGGTTTTTAAGTATACACTTCACATACTGAGATGAACTAAATTAAGCAACTGCCAATGGACAATGATGTCTTTGAAACTTCAATTGAGTTTATTAAGAAATTTGAACAGGCGACAAGGTTTTTTTTCCTGATTAAGTAAATGGCCAAAGTCTCAAAGAGGTGACATTGTCTAATCTAAGTATATCTCTTTTGATGAAGGAATACAGCTATTAAAACAACAATTATTAGCTCACCAATTATCTCTAGGTGATGTTCTCTATATTTTTAACACATTTCCTCTTTCTTGTGAAAAAGTTTTAATTACTCACCAAGAGAATAACACATTTCTATATTTAGTAACAATTCAACTTTTTTTTTTGATGACAAGGGAAACCCGCAGCCGCTACCCTTTGGGTGCGCACACGGTAAAACCCCCGCTCCTATGCAATAGCTCGCAAACCACACAGGAGAGGTAACCCGCACTAGGCAAGCCCGGTGCGACGAGCTCGACCCAGAAGGCAAACCCCTTGCTTTCGCTGGCAAGGGGTTTCGAACTTGAGACCTCCAACATGGAAGTCCCAAGGCCAAACCAACAATTCAACTTAAAACCTCCATTTTAACCTTAATGAGATGATCTATAGCCACACAATATCTATGGCTTGTTTTAGACCACAAAACCCAAAAGTCTTTCATTCTTAAACTCCGTACCTAGTCAAAACCATCACATAAATTGGGATGGAGAAGTAATAAACCTTTTGGCCAATCACATTCTTGATATCTAAGTTGCACAGTTCTGTAGAGTATATTTTAAGCCTAACTTCTGTTGGCAGAGAAGAAAATTAGCGACACTGCACCATATAGGTATCGCCCAGCTGCCTCACAACATCACTAGCAGTAGTTGTATTCTCAGGGATGTGGAAGTGTATGATTGGTTCAGGTGTTAATCCAATGTGAATTAAAGTAACCAACCCATATGAATTGATCCGACTCACCCATATAATTAAATCTGAATACCTGATTATCAACCCCCACCCTGATTCCTTTCTATTCCTTCAATATTGTTGTCTTTTAACTAGGATTCTGCAATCAGTTAAGAAAATGAATGTTTGGCCCTTTTCCGTAGAAAGAATCACAAATTTTGTAACAGCACAAAAGAGCCCCCCAAATCTGATACCTTACTGATCAAACTAAACAAGATGCTTCTATCAAACAAGACAACATTAAAAGTTCAGGGAAATTTAGAAGCTTTCACTGAACAGTCTATTCAACATTACGAATTATAGAATGCATGCAGCACTATATGCTATAAAATAGTCATTAATTTTCTCAAAACCAGAAGGAGGCACAGACACATTTCAAGAAAATTAAATATTACATGAATACAGGGGTCAACGGATGTCAATTGCCAACATTTGTCTAGACAAAATGGATAGAAGGATCCTGATAAATATGAAATTGAGCTACACAGGTATGCAAATTAAAAGAAAAATAAGTGCTTACCTCAACAGAGGCTTTCTTGGCAACATTTGTCCAATCTTTAGCTGCAACGCCACTTTTCCAGTCAAAATCAATAGTCAACTTAACCGGAGGCTTGTGATCAGCAGCAGTAAAGCAAGTGTGATAGTCTGCACCTTCCGCAGTCTCAAAAGAAAAATGCCCCTCATGAACATTTTCCGCGTAGTGATGGGCATGGCTATTCCCTTGTGCAGACGTTACCTAAAGCACAAAACACCAGAAGAAATCCACATAATCAAAGGTATATCGGAGAACAAGGACAAATTTTCAAACTTTGAGCATATGAAACCATCAGAACAAATGTGTCAGGACAAATAATACAGTATTGGCATAAGATGGATCTGAATTCAGCAGAACTAATACAGGATTCATATGGCAGATCTCAACTAACTTGGGATTTAAGCATAGTCGACTGATTGATCAAATGACTAAATGTAAACATTCCTCTATTGATACATTACAAATACATAAAACAAAAAACCAAACAGAACTTAATTAACTAGGTTAAAGATTTTTGCAGTTGACTCCAGAATATTTGTCCAACCATAATATCCAAATGAAGCTTTACAAAATCTAGCATATCCCCATCAATGCATCTATCATCCAAAGGTGAAAAACTTGTGCTAGTCTAAAAAATAAGATTTTTATATCAAGAACTACACAAAGAAAACTTAAAATCTTTTATATTGTTTTATAATCTTTAATCTAATAATACTATTATCATTTTTCAAACCCTGTATTTATGTACTTTAAAACCCAATAACTTAAAAACACTAAAATTCAGAACCCATCAGCTTCAAATCCGGGTTCTGGCGTCTCATTCTATGCAGAGGATCACCATAAGAAGAACTAGTTTTTTTCAATTGACGTATAAAGCTTCAATTAAGTAAACCCAGTTGCTAATTTGAAAAATAAGCATAAACCCATTTGTAACCTAGCTGATATAAATCTGCGCAAAACAAAAAAAAGTGTATTTACCCTGACGGTGACTTTGTGGGTATCAGGCAAAGGATAACCTTCATTTGGATTAACGATGTGATACTTGCCAACAGTCATGGAATGACCCTTGATTTCTTCAGCTATGCATTTTGTATGACCCGATTCCAGTTCAAATCTTAGAGATTCAATTTGGGTCAAAAAAATTCCCAAAATTACAAGAAGAAATAGGGTTTTACTTCTCCAAATCATCATTTTCCTGTTGGATTGAACCAAAACAAGAACAAGGGACAAAATTTAGAGAAAAAAATTTGCTAGATTGAAGGAGAAGTTGAAGTTCAAAGAGGGCTTTGTTTTAGGGAAGAAGACAGGAGGAAGATATATAGAAGAAAGTCAAAAGACTGGGATTTTGTATTTCTATGATCTATAGTCTATACTTCCCAATTTTTATTTTTTCCACTTTTTAATAGTGTTGATTCTTCTTCTTTAATTAGAAGTGGTAATAACATGATGTGACTACAACTACTTTTATTATTCAATTCAATTCTCTAATGTTATTGCATAGAATAAAAAGAGACAAGATATGTTATCGAGCTAATTAAAGACACGTGAGAGATTGGATATGTTATAGTTAAATTTTGAAGGTAAAAAGTTATGTTCACTCCGAAAGAATAAGACCTAATTAAAATACAACACTCGAAGGAAAGACAAGCAAATAATATTAGTTGTTATAGATTTGCTATGGAGGAAATGTCGATTGTTTTTTCCCTAGCATTAATATCATTTTTTTCAATTAATGTAAATTAAGAGGGAATGACTCTCGGCCCCTATAAAAGGAGTCTAACCTTCATGTCGAAGGATACAATTCTGAATGTAACAATTGATTTACACACTATTAGATAAACATTAACATTCTTATTTACTTTTTTTCTCAAGACTTGTATTGTTTTTCAAGTACTAATCTACTCAGAAGACGTCTTCATCAAAAGATATCATTGGATTCAAGTTATTCAGGCTATATTTATTAATATTCTTAATTAATTACTTTTGATATAGTACTATTCATTGCTTCAGATCAATATTCATTGTCCTTAAAATCACATAATAAATTCAACTGTACTTTTTTAAGGACAATCACATTGCCGCCCATCTAAGGCTAGGCAATTATATTATTTTAATTCTACTTATTCTTTGCCAACAATTTTATATTTGTGAAGCTAAAGTGTCGATTGATATAATGGATGACACTAGAAAATATTGAGCAAACCCATGGCATTTTGGATAATCCCACCAATCACGAAGTTGGTCGAATAATTAGAGAAACTCGAATTGCATATGATCAGGGTACTTCTCTACAAGTGTCTCATTGTTTTGGAAGGATTCTTACCCTCAATGATAATGCTCAAAACATGATTAGGATTGCTGGATTTGATTTGTCCAAAAATTATGCAATGTTGGAAAGTGAATAGAACGCGACAAAAGGAGTTATCTAACAATATTAGAACAGAGAACCATAGTGACAGTCATGTTAATGGGTCTAGAAATGACGATTCAAGAGAACTCATGAAGGCCTTTAAGCTTTGATAAGCCGGTAGAATCAGAATGAAAGAAGAATGCAATGCTCAAATAGATCAATTTTTTTAGGAACTCAATCAATCTTGAAGGATCCAGACTCGAGAAGACATGTTTAGTTAGCATTTCCATCAAAAGCGACTCTGAAGCTGATATCCAAAAGGTTCAAGTGATACAAGTTGAGTGTCACTTGCTTTCTGCACTTGACATTTTTGTTATTTACTTCAATTTATATTATTGATTGCCTAACTAGTTGACTATATATCAATACTAGCTGAGTAAAATACAAAGAAGTTATAATTTGTTCTCTCTATTAAACATATTTCAAATGCTTTTACTTTGTTATTCTTTACTATCTTCTCAAATCTTATTATAAACATCAAATGCATGGATAACATACCACTTATTTACAATGTTTATTATCCAAAACAATAGGATAATGTTACATTCTAATTATGTTATTAGGATCTTTCATGTTTAAATATTAAGAATAAATTCTAGTCTATTTTGCCTAGCAAAATAATTTTCATAAATTTGCTTCATAGTAAATAATTGAGAAAAAAAATATATTGTTCTTTGTTATTGTGATATTGCCCTTTGTTACTATGAGATAATAGTTAAATAGCCTCTCATTATATATTCAGATTTTCAACTACATACTTATATTTTACGGAGGTCCTGCTACCCCTTAAATTACTTTAAAATGAAATAAATAACCCTTAAAATGTGATTATCAATCATCTGCCTTATGGTGAAAAACACACGCTTGATACGTGTATTTCACCCATTAATCTTTTTCTAAAGAACTTTTTTTTCTTCCCTCTTCTTTATCCTTTCTTCTTCAATCTTTTTTGCAGCCCTAATTATTTTTTTTGTGAAAGCTTGATTTGGGAAAAATATTGAGGAATACGTTAGGGGTCTTCTTCTATTTTTTTTAATCTTTCTCACAGGGTGAATTTTCCGAGCTCCATTCTTTTCACCAGTTCGTATGAAAAATCGTCGCCACCACCTTCACCTCCACCTTTATCACCTCCCTAATTCAACAACTACAATTCAACACCCTAGCACATTTTTAACATCTTCATCTATAATATTTCTCAATTGTTCATGCCTCCAACCCCATTAGTTTCATATCTCCACCATTCGCATAATTTTTTTTTCTTCATCTAACTTTTTCTATTTAAGATCTTCATCTGGATTTTTTGAAACTCAACACCTAGCTTATCTATTAGCAGGGGATTCAAATCTTTTCTCCCTAACTTCACAACTTGTTGCAAATCTTGTTTCTTCAATGATTTTTCTCTCAATTTTTTCACTTTCGTTTTACTGGGTAAATCAATCATAAGAAGATCAAAATTAAACAGTGCAAATACTTTTAAACATGCTTTAATTTGAACACTTTTATCATGATATTACTATTGATGATTGCTTCAAATATGTCATAATTTGAGAAAAATTGATGGTGGCGGCGACATGTTAGGGATGGTGAATGATGGAGAAATTTGATCTATGTTATTACTATGAAGAAATGGAGAAGGAAAAAAAAAAAAGTTAAAAGGGAATAATTAAAAATATTTGCATTTGTGAAAAAATATTTAAAATAAAATTTTAATATTATCTTTGGTGCTCACTCTCTCAAAGAGAGTGAAATACACTCACTTTGTCAAGTAAGCATTTAGGAGGATAATAATTTCAGCTTTAAACAATTCAAGGGGTGACCCATAAAATTGAAGTGTGTAGTTGAGAATCCAAATAAAGATTGAGGGATGACATTTGGTCATTCTCGTATTACTATTGGTCCAATATGTCTTTAATATAATATTATTCATCTATTTATGTTCTTAAGTCTTAATGTTATTACGTGGCTCAAAGTTTTCCTCCTCAATTTATTTCCTATATTTTAGTCAAAATTACATGCCAACTGACCACACTATTATTTTTTTCTACACTATCCAAAATCCTCAATAATTTCACCATATGTACCATAACCCAACGAGCATTGTATTTGGTTCGAAAGACACCATATTCAGTATGTCTCCAAATAGGCCCCTACTAGTCCAACTGGTAGTGAGTGGTTCTTTCGGGCAAAAAACAAGGCCGACTTTATGGGCATATCTTTCCTTTCGAAACTATCTTTCATGTTTTTAAATAAATCAGCTCTCGTATTAAACAACATTACTTCTCCTTTCATTTCAAACTCAAGAATACGATCGATACAATTAATCGATTTGTGCACCTATCTTATTACTTTTTTGTATCCCCCTTTTCTTTTAATACAATTTGATTTTTCTACGAACGACAGTTCTATTCTTCGAGGCTAATTCAATTCTTTCTTACTATGAAAGAAAGCACTGGTGAAGAGTGATCTACTTTCAAGGCTAGTTTTGAGTCATTCATATAAAAATAATAAATTAACTTAAATAATTACCATTAAAAGTAGGAGTAGACATAAATATCGGAAAAAAAATTGGACCGAATCAAACTAATTCGGTTCTTCAACTTTTTGGTTTGATTTCGATGTCTCTTTTCAAAATTTCGATTCTTTGATTTGGTGTTCGATGTAGGATTGCGATTCTCCGGTGCATCGAAGAATTGAACTTTTATAATATATATATATATATTTTAACTTTTTTTCTAAAAACATATTATTGGTAAGTCTTCTTTTATGTTTTTTGTATAATTATCATTCATTTTCATCTTGAAACACAAAATTGTATCTTTTTCTCCCCTATTTTATTCCTTTTTAGCACATCATATGGTCTTATAGATCATTGTATTTGGATTTGAGCTAGTAGTTGTTGAGTGTTGAATTGCTAATGTCACGATCCAAAATTGGGCATGATGGCACTCATCTTATCCCACCAAGATAAGTCAGTCTAAAACTCAAATAATACGATAAATGCGGAAGTAAATCAAAAATAAAAGTGTAACACCAAAAAGAAATGTGGAAATCATAATCAACTTAAATAAACCCCTAAAATCTGGTTATCATGTGTACAAGCCTCTAATGTATTACAATAGAAATGAAGTAAATATAAGTCTCAATGTTATTGTTTCTAGAATAGAACAATTCCATATAAAGGAGTAAGAGATTCCGTTGAGAAACAAGCAACTACCTCTCAACTCTCTACAATAAGCCTCGGACGAAGAAGGGGAGAATAATCACGAAAATCCGGGCTCGTAACCTACACAAATGTAGAAATAAGGAGTGAGTACCAAACAACACAGTATTGAGCAAGCAGACCACTAAACACGAAGTAAAGCAATATAGAATATGGGTACTCCAACCATTCCAACCGAACCTCCAAGACTACAACCTGCACATAATCATCACAACCTAGCAGTTCACAATTAATACAACACATAGCATGTATATCAACCTTTCAACACATACAAGTCATCAACACAAAGTTCATAAGCTCCAAGATCAATTCCCGACACAAATAATCACAAGGTTCACAATACTAATGATGTGCAATGCAACAAGATGAAATATCAAATATAGTGATAAATATTTGTCCTATCATACACATCCGCTGAATATCAAGCCAGAGTCCATGGGGGACTTGCAAGATCCATGTATCCATCAGAACCATTTTCCTTTGACATATCTCACTCGTCAGAACCATTTCCCTTCGGCATCATAATCATAAAAGATCTCATCACGGTATTTTAGAATCAATGCAAATCGACATGTTCATACAAATCATGAGAATATGATAAATTTTCATATCAATACACAGACCTTACTAACACAATCATGATACAACCTCAATAATGAATCAGTCAAAACATTCATCAATATCATCAAATTACTTTTTTATTACCCTCTTTCATAATTATAATTATCAAATAT